TCCTCTTTCCGTGTCTGTCCGCTTCATCGTGTCACGTATATTATCTTCCTTTATATGCAGTGTATAAGGTGCATACATTGTTACATCATAATTAAATCTGAAATGACATTCATGAAAGGGATGGATTTGTCTAGAATACCGATTTTTGCACACACACAATATTGAGAATATAATTCCGTTCCTTAGATTTAATTAGATTATTTCTTATAAAACTGACGATTTTATATATATTTTTAATTTTCAAATTTTATTTTTATTGTCAATTTAAACAAATTTACTAAAAAGACAATATTTTACTTTGTCATCAAATAACTAACCCTATCAAAAAATCGATATAATTGAATATATACATATAATTAAATATTTGAGAATGTTAATTTTATTAAGTAAAAGAATTATGATTTATTTTTATTATTAACTTCAATATATTACAAAGATATAAGACAATTGATGACTTAGAATAATTCTAGCCTAATCATAAAATCTATCTTAAACAAAATTGAAAATTTTGAAAAAGATTATTGATAAGACTATTGATGATATTGATTAATGATACCAGAATTTAACTTTCACTTCAGATTGCTATTTCAGATTGTAAATAAGAGGATTTTCATCATTTTGACATTTTGATTTCGTTCTGTGTCATTAATGCGATATTGCGGCATAACTTCGTTAGAACATTAGTTCTCATTTGGATTATCTCTATACGGAAAGCAGAATACGTATAACTTGCATTGACCCGATCTCTGTGTTACGCCCACAGACCGTTCAATCTAAATATATCGACGATTTTTCGCGAGAGACATAATCGAAACATTGCTATATTGACGCGACGCATTGATATCGCGAGCTTTTTGTGAAATATTTTTACGCCTTACGCAATCACATTGACACTGCGATCATCTCGATTTTTCGAAAAGATTGAAAAAATGCCCTTCAAAAGTCAATTGATTCAAGAACTTAATTATTCACAGAAACTGTATACATCGGGTTAAGTAATTGGAACAGTTTTACTTGTAAATCTTGTAAAAAAATATCTAGCGCAGAAAAAAGAGTCTATTTGCATTAATTAGAATTCTAATTAAGAATGGACAAATCGGAATTTTCTATCTAAATTTATTATAATTTTAATCTTGAAATAATTCTGTTTGATATGATGTCAGAATCTTCTAGTTTATCTATTTTCAGAAATTTTTCTCAATGTGAGAATTCCCAGATTTTCCCTGAGTTCCTTTAGGGTAAAATTCTGTCAAACGCCTGAAACACGTCGCTGTTTCTTAACAAGCAGTCAGTCAGTTAAGGGATTCCGTCTTATTTTATAGCCATTAACCAAATCTGCTTTGTAAATTACGGTGAACACGTTGCAGCGCGTTATCACACACGGCGATACCTTCGTAAGTCGCTCCACATCGGTTGGTTAAAAAGCGCCATTATTTACACGTTGAGATTTTTACGGAATGGCTGGTTCTTGCGCCGTCCGTCGGTACTAAATATTGTATAATGTAATCTGCCTGTAAGTAAGTCGAATGTGTTTCGCTTCGTGAGATCGACCCAACTGGACCCCAGTGCGCACACTGTACCGTTTTTTTTTTTAAAGCCGGCTCATTTACCATCTCGCGGTGTCAGAGGCGAGAGCGACGGTTCCGCGGCGCATATATCAATGCACTTTATGCCTCTGTGTGGTCCGGTTGTCAATGCAGCCGGGAAATTTAAGATAAGAGGCCCCACGGACTTAAATCCGGACGCCAGCCATTACCGAAATCGGGGCCAAGCGGAAAGTTAAGTCCCCCACCTTAAAATGTACCAGTGCAACTGGGCCTAATTTATGACATCTTTACGTGCCCCGTCAGTCCCTCCAGATTTTTCTCACACGCGTTATCCCGATCTCCCAAGACGAAATGAGAGAGAGCTGCGATAAGGATAATCGAGGAGATTTATTTAGAGGATTGCGACGAATGTTTATGAATTTCTTTTTTCTGTATTCATTAAAGAAGAAAAATCCGCGATTTTAGAAAGTACACGTTTACAAATTAAACATTTCGTTTAAATATCTTGAATAAATTTATTGCCCAGGATATTTTAATTGCGTCGTTCAATTGACAATTTATGTATCCATTATATAACTCAATGTTTAATAGATACATAGATTATTTTCGATTTATAGTGAATACTTGTTTCGTAACGAGACTCCAATTCTATATAAATACGAAGAACATTGTATCCAATTTGTTAAGATTCAAAGTAATGTGTAAAAATAAGATTAAGAATAAGCAAAATTCAAGATAAATGTTGTAAGGTGTTAAGTAATTTATTAACACTTTACTAACAAAGATGATAAAAATATTATCACTACATTCAGTACTGTTAATATTTTCATTAGTAAAACTTTCTTTATTGGTAAGATAAAAGAGAATATAGAATGATACATTTCTCTTAGTATTAAAAATTAGATACAATGTTTTTTGTATTTATATATAGAACTGGAATTTTTCATTATGAACATATTAATAAATTGCTTAACACCTAACGATCTTTTGATGTATTTTGTTCGTTATTAGCCTTATTTCTGCATATTGATTTGCAAATTACGAGCTGTATGAATACTTATTTACTGTTAAGATTTATGTTAAAATACGTAACCTGTGAAATATTTATTTCCTTTCATATGGCCCTAAGAAATTCGAGATCATTAATATTTCAAGACTTCATTTCATTACTTATACGGAATGTAATTAAATTAATTAAACAGAGATACCGCTTACATATACTCGTGATATATATTTACTTTCACCTTATTCAGGACGCCTAGAAATTCTAGTTAAGCCATTGCGATTACGCGATAATTGCAAAGATTAACGATAGATTCAAGTCCAAATCAATTAAGCAAACGAGGAGGCTTTAAAGATGGAAAGATTTTGGCTCTTTGTTACAATGCCGCTCTGATGGCAGGTTCACACCGGACACGTTCCGAGAAAGTCAATCCCCGAAGAGAAATGAGACAGATCTCGGAACATGTCCATTCTTTCCTGCAGAGACAAGCGATTACCTTAAGAAATCTATACGAGAGCAGAGAAAGAGAGAAGGGGGGAGAGTAAAAAGAAAGGAGGGGTAGAAAACGGAAGAGAGTGAGAGGAGAGCCTTAACGATCTCAGGATGCGGGCGACTTTGGGGGCAAATTATCGGCCTACGGCCAATTACCAGGTGGAGGCGCCGATATATAGAAGAGAGCGGTTGCCGGAGAAGTTCCGAGAATCGTCCTGGCGGCTAAAAATAAGATCCCACCCGGGAGCGGTGATTATGTTCCGAAAAAAGAAGAAACCAGGCGAAACGCTCGCTCTCGTGTGCAGGTGGCGAGTGGGATGAGGAAGAAGAGAGGTGGAACGAACCACGGATGATACAGACTAAGAGAGAAAAAGAGAGACACAGGGAGAGAGAGAGGGGAGAGGGAGGAGGCGAAAAGAAAGAGAGTGAGAAAGGAGGACCTCCTCGTGGTGATCGTGCGCTGGGGCCTCGGTTAATGAAGTTGTCGGTTGAGGACGTTTACAGGTAGAGCCTACCTGCGTGTGGTCCATTCACAGCGACTGCTGCAGGACTGGTTAGGAGTTGCTTTACATCTCAACCTGTGTGTGTGCAAGCCGAACCGACCGGCCGGTCAATCGAAGGCGAAGGAAGAGAGCGAGAAGATGATGAGATATATTGATATACCTGACATGCGAATGTCCGTCGTTACATATATGAGTGCTCTCGATGAACAGTCATGCCACAATGACATCGAATCGCGAGGTCAAATTCCTGGTTTCTCTCAAAGATCATGTTTTTAAACATCTCATTCCGAAAGAATTACCTTCGAACTGCACGATTGTTTTAATCTGATAAAACAGTATGATTGAAAGATAGGAAAGGAATAGAAAAGAATTTCGCAACGAGTGAAAAGATGATTCTTTAAAAAAAATTTTTTGAAAAAGCTTAGCTCCACACGTGGTGAACTTCACGATTTATTACCTACAATCCCATGAACGCCAGAGGAAGGTTTAATTTTAAAATCATTCATTCTTAAAGGAAGGTGAAAGCTGAAAGAGCCAGTTTCAGCTTTAAAATATCTTTTTAGTTTCAATTCATCCAATTTAATTACGAAAATATTATATCTATTATTTAAAAAAGCCGAAAATAATGACGAGATTATAAACACATTCCTGGTGTATGCCAAAAATAGAACGAACAATTCTAACCGAGCAAAGAGTATTTAGGATACATTCCTAATAACATATGTAAATGCTTTCGTTGCTATGTTATGTCGTGCCAATTTCGTCGCTAATCTTTCAATTTAGTCTGTTATAAAATTAATTTTAACAC